TAGTTTTGCATTATGTGGCCGTTTGCTGTTTTATGGGTTTTTCCCATTTGCCTTTTAAAATTTATATATTAAAGAATCTCTTGAGATCCAGCAGCGCCGCCATGAAGCACGGTAGAGATTGCATCTTTTGATCTCTGATCTTGTTCACAAATTCTCGGACTAGTGCTGTCTCGTAAGAATTTTGTAGGATGTGTTAAGAATGACAAAATATTCTCTGTATCTACTGGAACCAAGCCGCATAGCTTGTATTCCACTATTTGCATTCACACCTGGGCTGTGTATATATATTGCCTTGGTTTAGTTCTGTAATCATTAGTGGTCGTGGGACTAGTTTGGGCCCTACCTAAGCTGGTCGAACGTTTCGTTTGGGTCTGTACCCTAGCTGCACTGATGAGGCCTGGAAGGCCAAAACTGATCCGTCTGCAGATATTGGGATTCATTCCAGTGGATGCTTAGTTTATTTTGTCATTCTGATCGGATTTTCTCTACAGTTTCGTTTAAATTTTAATTTTAAATTGTTTTGCATTATATGGCTGTTTGCTGTTTTATGGGTTTTTCCCATTTGCCTTTCAAATTCAATTATATCATCATTATCATCATCATATTGTAATTTTCTTACACAGATGTAGAAAATAAATAAAACTATTTATTGTCATTATTTATTTGAAAGGAAACTCAACATTCTATGCTTAGCTCTTAATTTTAAATACATTGATATAAAAAGAGCAATTAAGTGAATAAAAATAAAGAGTATGGAAGAGAGAGGATCAAAACAGTGAGCACTTCCCATAGTCAAATCAACGTAATGAAATTGTAAGTAATTAGTTATTGCAAGATTGAGTATATATACCTAGCCCACATGGGCTAAATTATAATATAATGTAATAAGCTGAATCATATCTCAATATATGATAATGAGCACAATCAAAATGTAATTACATGTATTGAACATGATAAAGGTTATATTTATTGCTTTGGGCTAATATTAGCAATCTTGTTACTTGCATTTTACAGATCTATCAATAAATGTAATACCATATGTCTGTATTACTAAGATTGTTAGTGAAGTTGGAGGAAGGGGAGGAGGGCGGGAAAATAGGAAGCAGTGGGAAAACTCTGATGAATCTTAAATGTAATGTAAATGCATCTGCTAGGATGTGTTTTATGTAACACCAAGTTTACATTTGGTACTGACTGAGACAACTATATAAATGTTACCTAAGTCTACATCAGGGTCATGGGCTAGTTTTGGTCTGGGGGTGGGGGGAGGTGCGCGAAAATTGAGGATACAGAACTAAACCTCATTCGAATGAAAACTCAATTGTCAAATTTAGTATTTTAACCCACTTAGTGAAACTAAGCGTTTGCCTCTCCCCTCCCTCATCTCCCCTTCCCAGATATTACTTAATGAAAATAGGTTAAAAAACATCAAAGAATGGTGTTGTACTCTTGAATAAGATATCAGATATGATATTAAAAGCATTGTATTTAAGTTATACATTTCTTTATATATCA